TTAGGGTTTAGGGTTTAGGGTTTAGGGTTTAGGGTTTAGGGTTTAGGGTTTAGGGTTTACGGTTGAGGGATTGGGGGTAGGGTTTAGGGTTTGGGGATAGGGTTGAGAGTCTAGGGTTTAGGGTTTAGGGCTTGCGGGTAGGGTTGAGGGTTGAGGGTTGAGGGTTTAGGGTTTGGGGTTTAGGGTTTGGTGGTAGGGTTAAGGGCTTGGGGTTTACAGTTCTCTCACTTAGGGTCTAGACAGGCGGTTTAGGGTTTGAGGCCTGAGAGGGCTGATTGGCCCTGCATTTAGGGTTTAGGGTTTAGGGTTTAGGTGTGGGTGTGGGAATTGATCTGAAACCTTTCGTTTAGGGTTTAGGGTTTAGGGTTTAGGGTTTGTGTATTCGAATTGTGTGTGATTTCCTCCTTATGCGACCCGACCGTGTATCCCTGTGTCCCCGTAAACCCTAAGCCGTAAACCCTAAACCCTAAACCCTAAACCCTCGTTTTGTTGCGGGTTTAGGTGGGAAGAGATTGAAGGCAACAGGGAGTTAACACCAACAGGAGTCGAAATGTTAGTTGAAGATGACAACGGGTTTATTCGCAGCAAAACCTCGTGCGATCTAACCAGCGACTTCCCTCCTGAAACGCAGGTTAGGGTTTAGGGTTTAGGGTTTAGGGTTTAGGGTTTAAGGTTTGGTTTGGGGTTTAGGGTCTAAGGCTTAGAGTTTAGGGTCTAGGGTCTACCGTTTAGGGTCTAGGGTCTAGCGTTTAGGGTCTAGGGTTTAGGATTTGGTTTAGGGTTTAGGGCTTTGGGTCTAGGGTCTAGGGTTTAGGGCCTAGGGCTTAGGGTTTAAGGTTTAGGGTTTAGTGCGTGGGGTTTAAGATTTAGGGCTTCCGGCTTATGCATTGGGGTTTTAAATTGTTTATAATTATTTAAAAGGGTTTGTGAGTGTTTATAAGGATATATAAGGGTTTATAAGGGTTTATAAGGGTTTATAAGGGTTTATAAGGGCTTTTAAGGGCTTATAAGGGTATATAAGGGTTTCAAAGGGTTTATGATGGTTTCAAAGGGTGTATAAGGGTTTATAAGGGTTTATAAGGGTTTATAAGGGTTTATAAGGGTTGATAAGGGTTGATAAGGGTTTAAGAGGGTTTGTAAGGGTTTATGAGGGTTTAAAAGGGTTTAAAAGGGTGTATAAGGGTTTATGAGGGTTTATGAGGGTTTATGAGGGTTTGCGTGCAGGAGCAGCGCAGCGACTCTGCTGCAGGGTCTGCAGATTTAAGAGAGCGGCTGCTGTCTGTTCAAGAAGGAAGTGCAGCAATAGATGAGAACGACTCGTTGGTAGTTGTTTCTTTAGAGCTGCCTGTAAGAGTAGTTCGAGTAGAGACGCATGTAAATACTCCTTCAGAAGAAGCTGCTATTGCTGCTGCTGCTGCTGCAGCAAAAGCGGCTGCTGCAGCAGCAGCAGAAACAGATGCACCAACAGCTCCAGCAGAAGCACCAGCAGCAGCAAATCAACCAGCTGCAGCAGCAGCAGCTGCTGCTGCAACAGAAGACCCTCAATCCTCTTCCTCCTCCTCCTCTTCGTCATCAGGATCAAATGCAGCAGCAGCAAGTGCAGCAGCAGCAGCAGCAGCAGCAGGTTATCTACCGCAGCAGCGAGACGGTAGCGGTGAACCCGTTGCTTTTGTGCGCAGCAGCAGCGGGAGGTTTGAGCTGCGGCCTTCAAAATCAACATTACTGCCTTCACTGTTTCATTTAAAGGATAAGACAAGACTTGCAGTCTCTTTTTTAGGGTTCTCAGGTGTATATACACAGGATGAAGACGAACAAGAAGAGATCAAAGAGCTGCTATACCCCTATGCATGCATCCCTGTCTTCCCACCCGAGAAGGAGATGAATAACTGTCTTCGCTTCTGCGATTCTATCTTGCGTCCTCTCTTTCATAATGTTATTTCTATTGACCCCCCAGCACAGCAGCACCAACAGCAGCAACAGCAGCAGCAGCAGCAGCAGCAGAAGCGGCAGCAAGGGGAAGAAGAAGAATTGCAGCAGCAGGAGCAGCAGCAGCAGCAACAGCAGCAGCAGCAGCAGCAAGAAGAGGAGGATATAAGCAGCGAAGAGTTGTGGTGCAGCTATTTATATATAAATAAATTATATGCTTCTCAAGCAACTCTACAGATGCACGAGACAGATATTGTTTGGCTGCACGACTTTCAGCTGCTTCTGTCTCCGATGTACATCACAAGAAGAAACAGAAAAGCAAACATCGGCCTCTTCCTGCACATCCCCTTTCCGTCCAGCGAAATCTTCAGGTGTCTACCCTACAGAGAAGAGGTACAGCTATATAAGTATATATATTTATATATATTTATATATATATTTATATATATGTATGTATATGTATATCTCTATATATATGTATATTGTATAGATATGTATATATTTGTATATTTATTTATATATGTATATATATATATATATATCTATATATATGTATATTGTATATATATATATGTACATTTATATCTGTATATATGTATATTGTATATATATATATATATAAATATATATATATATATATATTTATATATATATGTATATATATATT